CACGCCACGCTGCATTGCTGCAGTAATCCAGGCCAAGTATTGAGCTCTGTACATGCTCATGCTTTTCAGTTGTCCAACATTTCTAAAATTCCGATTTTTGCATTGGTCTTACGGGCTGACTAGGGAACATAGACAATCTGGCGAGCTCTGGTGTTCTGAGGTGGTATTGCAACAACAAGACTAATTTTCCATCCGCTGGGATGTTGGTTCACTGCTGACACGTTGCAGCACCCTGTTCACAGACAAATCGTACAAGATAAGGACTAACTTCTACTAATAAGTTTATTTTACAACAGTATTTAACGTCAGAACATCTTCTGGGCTCAGAATCAGCTGCTTGACTTGTCAAGTCCACCATTTTACACAATCCCAGCCTCGCCTTGCTGCTGACTATTTAGCAGAGCGGTGCCCTCTAGTGGCTGGTAGATGTAAACAAACACAGTGTCGTGCCGACAGAATAAAAATTTGATTATTTATCTTTTTAAATATAGCTTTAAAAGGAGAAACTTTATATTCATTATGCACACCTCTGAACGCCCTGTGGATGTATTATTTTTTTAAATGTAGCTTTGGGATACAGAATTTGGGATTTTCATGAGTTTTCAGCTATAATCATCAGTCTGTGTGTATGGAATGAAGACTTTTTGAAAGGAATGAGGGAAATAAATCAGCTTTGTCATGATGTTCTAATGCAGCGGTTCCCAAACTTATTTAGCCGCGCACCCCTCCTATGTCCCGACCATGTCGACGCACCCCCCAGCCCCCACATCAGGGCATGGCTATATATATATATATATATATATATATATATATATATATATATATATATATATATATATATATATATATATATATCTCAGACGTCACACTAAACAGTCACTCAACACACGGTTAAAAAATATGATCGACCTTTTTCCCCATCACTTTCATTTTCATTTTTATGTTTATGTATTATGTATTTTTGAAATAGTAATTAATAAACATTCAATACCATTACAATTTCCTTTGATTTAATTTTAAATAAATATTTAGAGTGCCCAGGTAGCACATAAACAATACAATTTAACAGTTTTCTTAAAGCAGGAATGTTTAACCAGAGCTCTCTCCTTCCTTCTGCACTGCGTAAACCTGAACTGATCACCTACTTGTGCGTAATCAAATGTCTATGGGGGGAAACGATGTAAAAGATACAGCCATGATGTTCACTTTTGCCTCAGACCAACTTATTGCTGTTTTATGGTGTGGCTGAATCTGCGATCCGCTGCCACGCGGACTGGAACAACAAATGCTGCAGTAACATGAGTTGTAGTCAGGTTCATGAGGAGTCACTGGCTGGAGCGGACCCGATTTTAATACGTCATCCCAAAATAGAAGCTAATATCTTAATTTGACCTGGAATGAAAAATGTTATAAAACCTCTTAAAAGTTTTTTATCATGGAGGCAGCGCTCAGTTCTGCCTTCAGTCTGACGGCGCGGCACGTGTGCTTATTGAATCAGTATGTGTGTGTGTGTGTGTGTGTGTGTGTGTGTGTGTGTGTGGTGTGTGTGTGTGTGTGGTGTGTGTGTGTGTGTGTGTGTGTGTGTGTGTGTGTGGTGTGTGTGGTGTGTGTGGTGTGTGTGTGTGTGTGTGTGTGTGTGTGTGTGTGTGTGTGTGTGTGTGTGTGTGTGTGTGTGTGTGTGTGTGTGCGGCACAACTCCATGAGCCGCTCCAGTCGCCGCGTCTCGTTCTTGGTGCTATTCAAACCAATGTTGTAAAATGACTTCTGCCCAGCCGAGATGTGCTCACTTGTGCACCCGTGAGCCGTGGTTCCGCTGGAACATGTCTGACCTCTGACAGACGCTCTCTGAACTTCAGATCTTCAGCGCGCTGTCAATAGCCTGACATGTGTAGAATACTGCCCCACAGTCAGTGTGCTAATATAATAATATAATAATGCTAAAATGCTCAGATGGGAATCATTTCTTGATTTATTTAGTTACATCCACAATGTTCTGTGTGTGAGGTTTACAACGTCAGAACACCTGCATGAGACAGGTGTTAATTACAATCTGCCAGAATGACTCGCCACCTTCAGATTCCTCCAACACCGTTAAAAATGATCAAATACGGAACATATCGGCGTGCTCAGGCCAGAGCGCTGAAGCTCGGCGCATTGTTATTATGAAGCTAGGGCACATGCAGAGGACACACACACACACACACACACACACACACACACACATACACAAGCAAAATATACTTGTTTTCAATTACATTTATTGTGCCCACTTACTTTTTCTTTGGCCCACCCACAAATGAGTTTCTGGCTACACTAATGGTGACATATGACAGACTTCTCTGAGCTCCGCAGCCATTACACTTTTCACCTCGCGCACCCCACACTTAGGGAATCCCTGCTCAGATGTAAGGACCTGCACCTGTAGTTTAATATCTGATGAGTCTGTAGGGAACCTGTGTGAGGAGAATAATTACCGATGTATCCAGATTTGTGTTTGCCCTTTGTGCTGCGACCCACATCACAGATGGCCCTGATGTTGTTCTTCTGGAAGCCAGCCTCGTTGTTGAGGACCGTGATGCAGTCCTTCTCCACTACAAACGCCAGCGCCGGAACCTCACCTGCATCCGACGGGTAACTGTTGTCATCGGCGTTCTGCACGAAAACAAAAGGGTGAGAAGAAAATCCAGCGTTTTTTAGCCTGATAGAACAACAACCCACCTGAATGAGCTCCAGGACAAAGTGTGTGTCTTTACTGTAGAGTTCTGTGGACAGGCGGTCCAAGCTGCGGCCCAGGCGCTCCTGATGGACCTGCATCAGCCTCTGACCCTCAGCGTTCAGCATCACTCCGATGCCAAACTCGCTTTTTCTGCAGAGTAGGGAAAGGAGGAGTCAGCTTCACTTTGTTTCAGCCACAGTTTCGTGTCCAACTCTGTAAAACAAAAAAGGATAAAACGCGAAAACCTGATGTCTTCAATTATAGCTCTCTGATGATGGAATGTGTTCTCTGTCTGGCTGCTTTCTTCTGATTCAGAGCTCTCTGGCAGTTCCTCAGCCTGGCCTCCATCAGCTTCACTGCTGAGGTCAGAGGTCGTTCCATTAGGGGCGGAGATCAGCTCGTACAGATCCTCCTCCTCCTCCTTATCTAGCCCTAGTGAAAAAGGAAAGAGAATGAAAAGCCCAGCGTTCACTCGAGAACCACGCAACACAGATTTGATCTCTGAGCACCTGGGTGAATGTGTCGGGATGACCACCACTGACCTGGCTGTTGGCACAGGTCCAAGTGAGAGGACACAGAGCTGAAGTCATCCTCCAGGTCCTCCTCTTCGCTCAGAGTTACAGCAGAAAAGCTGCTGCTCTCCGAGTCAAGGCTAGGCTGACATCAGAAATGAAAAAAGAATTCATCTCCAGTGAAATCAGAACAGAATGATGAACACCAACATGGTATCAGGTAAGCTTCCAGGTGTTTACTTGTCATATTTTAAGTTTAGTGACCAACAAAAGTTCATTTGACCCTAAAACAGTTTAGTGAGACTTGTTCTGATCAAAGCCTTTGATTAAATCTCTATGTTAACAAATACATCACAGCCACGCCAGGCAGCCGTTGGGTGATGACAGAAACATTTGTCGTTGTACAAACGTTTCCGTTTCTCCTCACCTTCGCCCGATCGACAGGCCCGCTGGAAACATTACAGCTTTGGTTTAGGGGAGGGTTCAGCTTCTTCTGGTAGTCTTTGAGCCAGTCTGTGATGCCCAGCAGGACGCCCAGCCGGTGCAAACAGTTCAGGTGCTTTGGATCAGACTGAGCCACAGTGATCAGAACCTCTTTAGACTTGGCTTGGCCCAGGACCCGGGAGAGAGGTTCCAGGAATACCTGAAAGCAAATGGCAGGCCACAATCTGAAACCTGGTAACTGTAGTACTGAGACTAACACTGAGACTAACCTTTTAGACTCAAACTTATCGCAAAACATGGAGTCCGAGGGTTTGGTTACCTACCTTATTTTTCATGTTCCTCGTGGAGAAACAATGATGATGGCAACATCCAGAGAGCTACCGGAACTAGTGCATACCCATTGGTAAGGTTTCGTTGCTGGTGGTAGTTTATTTGAACATTTAAAATAATTTACTACCAAAAAATGTACTTGCATGGCTCGGGAGGATGTTGCAGTGTTCGCGGCGGTGCAACCAGAGACAGTGGGTGTGGTTTAACCAGAAGTGGGTGTGGTTTACATCAATAAGTCATTTTAAGTCTGATCAGAAGTTGCTATGTGTATTGTTTATTTGAAAACTATTTACAGAGCAGCCTCAGAGTTGAGATTAAATGTTTTTGATCACAATAGTAAAGGAACTATTACAGAACAAGTTTTGCAATAAAATCAGAACATTAATATCTAAGTGCATGAATTAAGAGAGAGAGAGAAGAAAGGGTCTTTTCTATAGCGCCTCTCAAGATAAAAATCACGGGGCGCTTCACCAAAACAAAACATGTAAAATAGAAAAAATAATTTAGAAAATGATTAAAATATATTTAAAATGAGCAAAAAATACACAATTGTGATTAAAAAATGTAAAGAAAGAGAGAGTGAATAGGAAAGAGGGAGTGGATCCTGAGGAAGAGGGGAGAGAGAGAGAGAGAGAGAGAGAGAGAGAGAGAGAGAGAGAGAGAGAAAAAAACCAGACCGGAGCGGAGGCAGTGACCGACGCAGCACGAGCCGTTTTCACCTGTCTTGTCAAATGCACCACGTACGTTACGAAAAAAGTAACTTTAAATAACTTTAAAGTAACTTTAAAAAGAAGCAAACTGAAGAAAACATAGGGAGTACTGAAGAAACGTGAACGGTGAAGCAAGCACAGAGAGGTCCGTTACTGTCTGTGTGTGTGCGTGGATGGACCGGACGCGGACTGAGCTCCCGCTGCAGTTTTGTGTGTAGGGAGGGGCGGGCGCTCTATTTGACTGGCCAATCACAGAGCGTGAAGACAGTCAGTTACCCAATGAGGATTTTCCTTCAGCACGATTACAGATATTTACGAGTTTTACTCGTTTCATGCTCGTACTCGTCAAAAGGCTCATCCCTAGAAACCACCACAAACGTTATTTGTGCGTTCATTTATTTTGTTGTGAAAAACCCAGAGAGGAACACCCGCATCCCACTCTGTTGTTGGACATGACAAACCTCTGGAGTAGTATAGAGACTCGGCACCAGTCTCACGAGAACAGCAGGTATGATTTCATGTGTACAACTTTCTGATGTTGTATGTAACGTGTGTTTAGATTGCTGGTGTTAACCTAAAAGTGCCATCCTGCTGTTTGATTAGGATTTTACGTAAATAAAACATGAATCCCACCTCTTTCAACAGAACACGACCAACCTTGTTACTAGGTAGGTACTGATAAGCCTCGGAGCTTTTAAGATTGTTGCTGTAACTAAGTAGCTAAAATGCTACTATATGTTAGCTTTGGCCACATTCCCCTCTTGGTGCAGTAGGCAAGAGTGCAACTGTGTCCCATTTGAGCTGTGACAGCCGGTGTTTACATGTGTTTTCTGTCGCGCTTGGGCAAAGGGATCGCATCATCTCAATGTTACCAAACGCAGAGTTGTTACTATCTTTTGCAAAAAGCCTGATGGGATGTAGGAATAATGAGGATATTTTTAATATTTATCATAAATAAATATAATAATAATAATAACAATAATAATGGTCTACAGCGTCAAACGCATCACTGACCTGCTGTAAAAGAGCCTGGCAGGTTCTGGTGGGGATTCGTGTTAAACTCGTCAGCAGGAACGTGGCCACTCGGCTGTAACAGGTCACGTCCTCTTCAGCACTGGACACATCTGGGAACACACACCTGGTTTAGGCGAGACCTCAACTACCAGCTGTGCAGATTTAACCATTAGACGTTGCATCACCACCTTCTTTAGCGACAGCTGTTGCCAGAGCGTTCTCCATGTGGTTGGCCAGCAGGGCAGTGGGAGCGTTGTCGATCCCATCTGCTGCCACCATGGACACCAGGTGGCCAGCTGTCCCAACAGGGTCCAGGGCTGCAGCAGCACTGGAGAAGTGCTTGTCTCCCGTGTCAGTGGTGATCTTCAGCAGCAAACCTGGTGTCACCTCTAATGCTGCCAGGCCTGTGTTAGCTGTTAGGTATGAAAGTTAGCACTTAATGCTGATCTTACAGACAATATCTGAAATGCACGACTCTGATTTCCAGACCGATTTCTGATTCTCATGCAGCTCTGACCTGCTGATTTCACTCTATCTTGTTATTTTTGTCATGGTCTGCATCTGCCCCCTCCTTTATGTGTCTCCTGGTGTCCTCCATCCCTCTCTAGATTCCCTTTTGTGTCTCATAGCGCCCTCATGTGTCCTTTGTCTGCGTCTCGTTTATTGTGTTTTCTGTTTGTGGGCATTCGATCATCCCCATCCCCTCCAGTTGTAGCTCCAGCCTCTTTGTCCCCAGCTCTGTCTGTTTGGGTGTGTGCGTGTGGGTGTGTGCGTGTCCATTCCCCAATTCGGTGTATGTGTGTGTGTGTGTGTGTGTGTGTGTGTGTGTGTGTGTGTGTGTGTGTGTGTGTGTGTGTGTGTGTGTGTGTGTGTGTGTGTGTGTGTGTGTGTGTGTGTGTGTGTCCCTTTCCCAACTCAGTGTGTGTGTGAATGTATTTGAGTGTGTTTGTGTGTGTGTGAGTCATTCCCCCTCCAGCCCTCACTCCACACACCTGCTTCCTGTTTCCCTAACTGTTCCTCCCAGCCTATTTAAGCCCTGTCTTGTCTCTGTGTTGTTGTCGGTCCATTGTATTTCTTGGTCAGTGTTGTTTTGTCTCCAGTCTCAGTCTATAGTTCTCTGCTCAGAAGGTGAGCGTTTGGATTTATGTCTCTAGGTTTGTTGCTCTAAGTGAGCTTTCGTAGTCCTGTTGTTCACGACTTGGTCTTTGGCTTCCTCCCCTTTTTGGATTTTGGTTCATCTCCTAATAAAAGGATTTTACCTTTAAAACCACTCCTGCCTCATGTCATCCTGGGTTACTGCATTTTGGGTCCAAACCATCCTCTCATGACAATTTTTGGTTTTCCATTGGCTAAAAAACTCCTGATATAGAAAGTACGACCTTTAGTGTGTCAGACCTGGTGGTGCTGTTGTCACACCCTGCCCTGTCTCCCCGTTCTGTTCAGTCAAGTGTCCCTGTTAATTGCTCCCACCTGCCTCTCGTTTTCCAATCACCCAAGCGCCCAGCCCTCCTGTATTTAAACCCTCTCAGTTCTGTGTGTTTTGTCGGTTCATTGTTTCCATGTCCTGTGTGCAGTTACTATTAAAAGATCTTTTACATGTCCAGTTTGCCTGCCTGCCTGCTTCCTCCCAAGCATGTGGATCCTCACAAACCGCTCAACCCACCTGCACCGTGACGGCTGTTGAGAACTGGTGCTTAAGGATGGTTTTATTATTACTGCTGGGCAAAACAATTTATAAATACATCAGAGGCTTCAAATGTGTACTGAACGTTACACGAAACAGAAAAACAGCTCACCTGCATGTCTTTCTATAAAATCTTTGAGAGAGCCGTGAAGGGGTTTGAAGATCAGCTCCCATTGGCTCCACTGGTTTAGATCTTCCAGCAGGGGGCAGGAGAGCAGGCTGGCCAGGGCCTGGTCCCTGGGCATCTCACCCAGGCGTCCCACCGATCCACTCTCAGAGCTGACCACGGGACAGAGGTTAGCACAAGAGGAAATAACTAAAACTCCAAAAGTATTAAAGCCTGAAATGTCCACACCAAGTATCTGTTTCATATTATTATCAATTAAGCACAATAAGGTTATAATTTCATATAGGGTTATAATGTATAACAACATTAATAAAACACACTAATAATGTTTAACAATGCTGAAATCAATAACTGTGTGATAAATGCTACCTTGACTTGCTGTTCTTGGCCAACAGAGCTGACTCGTAGTAGACCGGGCTCAGCCCTCCTCCAGGCAGCTTCTGTTGCCTCTGGAGCAGGCCGGCCAGCGTGTGCAGGCTGCCATAACCCAGGTCCCGGCTGTCCCGGACCCTGTAGTGGGACCTCAGTGCTGATTCGATGTGAGACAGCTGAGAAGACACAATAGGACGTCAGCACTTCCTGTTTTCTAATGCGGAGTCTTATCTGCCAGAAAGGACATACTTCATCTGAGTCGGTGGAGGTTATGTTACCGCACTGCTTGATGAACTCAAACACATCTTGTCTGGTGGGTCTGAAACCGCTGCCGGTCAGTTCCGTGTTGTTTCCCAAGAACAAAGCCGACCCCAGAGTGTCCTTCAGCAGCTGCACACAGACAAACACCCAGGGTGAGGACATCTTCTGGACCGTGTTGGTGCTTCTTTGTCTATCTTATATGGAAACATCAATGCTGGCAGGCAAACTGAGTCCTCGGTGTACCTGAATGTGTTTCACCAGGAATTCCAGAAAGGTGCCGTGCTCTAAGGAGGGGAAATCTTTGACGTTGAAGTGTTTGGCTAGCTTCTTCTCTAGAGCAGCAACATGGGCCAGAGTGGTGGCAGAGCTCTGAGCAGCCAGGTTCTCTTTCAGGTACTGCTTCACTTTGGCTGAGAGACAAAACAGACTGTTAGTCAAGCCTGACTCAGAGCTGAAGGTCGGACTACAGCCACGGCCAAATGTCTGGAGAATGACTCGTGATGGTTTTCACAAAGTTTGCTGTTTCGGTAAATCTTTGTGTCAGATGTGTCTTTGGTTGCTGAGGTGGTTTACAGCATGTTGGATATACAATCTCTCCAGTGTGGGTCCTTCTTCCTCTTGCTTTTATCACCAGTAGAATAGACTACTGCAATGCCCTGCTTTCTGGCCTTCCCAAAAAGAGCACTTCAGGTCTACAACTTTTACAAAACTCAGCAGCTCGTGTCCTGACAAAGACCAGGAGGCAGGAGCACATCACTCCGGTTTTGGAATCACTGAATTGGCTCCCCGTAAGTTTCAGGATCGATTTTAAGATACTCTTAATGGTTTTTAAGTGTCTTAATGGTCTTGGCCCATCTAATCCCTCACAACCGCTTTTACCATATGAACCCTTGTGGTCCCTGCGCTCCTCTGGCAGCCATCTCCTTGTCATTCCTGAAGTCAGGACACACACTCACAGCCGTTATTACGCCTCTGGATCGGGCTGCCGGAGGATCTCAGGGCCGCAGAGAACGTTCATGTTTTTAAGATCAGGCTCAAGACCCACCTTTTTAGTTTAGTTTTTAACTGATTACTATTTATTGCATTGCTTGTTTTACTTATTTATTTTAATTACTGTTGTGTTACACATTTATGTTGTTTTATTTGTATAATCACATTTTATTGGATATTTTACATCATACAGTTTAGATATTTTCCATATTAGCTCGTTAGTGTGTGTGTGTGTGTGTGTGTGTGTGTGTGTGTGTGTGTGTGTGTGTGTGTGTGCGCGCCTGTGAATGTCTTGTGGATTGGGGGTGAAACTGTCACAAATGTTTTAAATGTGGGAAAGTGGAGGAATGTGGGTCATTTGAATCTGTTAAGCACTTTGTGTTGCTTCCTGTGCATGAACAGTGCTTTATAAATAAAGTATCAATAAAGTTAGATTTGATTTGATTCTTCTAGACCTCTGTAGGTCACCCTAGCTGGCTGTCAACGATCCACTGGTTCAGATTCAGGCTGAGAGAGCTCATACTTTGTGGGTTTCTGCTGCTCTGACTCAATCAGAGTGACAGACTCGTATCAGCAGGGCTTTCTGTGGCTGGAACTCACACAAGTTTATGAAGGAAAAACGAAAACTGCAAACTTTGTGACAAAATCTGTGTCACTCTGAACTTCTGGTAAACAATCTGAGTGAAAGAACCTTCACTGGGGAGAGGCGCTGCAGCTCTGTCCACCATGTTGGTCTGCTGTGTGGTTTTGGGTTTTTGTTCCTTCAGCACCACGTCCTGAGGAACAGCTAAGGAGCCTCCACAGACAGCCAGCTGGAACAGAGCTCGGGCCAAACGGTCTTTCAACACCAGATTCAAGAACATCTCGACGTGCTGTGTGGAGCAGAAAACAAATCTCTGTCAGGAGTTATTTACATGAGATTTTATATGAGTACACAAATGAAACTGGCTCACTCTGTGTTTCAGCCACACACACCCTGAATGGCCAACCACCATGTCTGAGGAGGTGAGGTTTGGTTTAATAACAGAAACAGAAACTCCAAGTGGTGAAGCAGTCCTGCTCTGTCTGGTTTTAACTCTCCCTAAAGTTTCCATATCATGCTATTCTAAACCTCTGAGAGCAAAGGAGGGCACAATTTATGATAAAATATTACTGCTGGCACCATTCAGATGTCATTTATCTTAAATATGAGTTATTGTCATCAGCCTAAAGTTATACCTGGAAATAAAACACATCGTTTCAGTGAAACTCTGCCCATGCCCTGAGGAAATGTGCCTTCAACAGCGTCGCAGGTGCAACAGCCACTGCGTTTGTTATGGTAGTCTGGTGGTTAAGGCTGTTTATTCAGTTTAGCCATGTGCTGACGTGGGTTCGACTCCCGGTGGGAGCAGTAATTGATTTAGGCAGATATCATGTTTTTATATTTTAGTTTCATTGATTATTTTCTGCAAAATATTTTGTGTCTCTGAACATTTTTGCATTTTAGTTGATTTCCTCTGCTCATCTCACACGGACTCACACTGGCTAAATAAACAAGGAAAGTTAAAAAACTACAGATTAGTCCTTCATTTTTAAACAGTTTACCAGTAAAGGGTTGCAAACATCATACTGGCACATGTAGCAGAAAAAGAAACAACTATTGTGCTCTGACTGGGATGTGAACATGTGCTAAACTGCATGCTAGCCTAGCACACTAACCAGTGGACTACCAAGTCTGCCAGGTGAGAATCACTGACAAAGCCACATATCCTGCATGGGCCAGGGGACCATGATTTGGAATCGTAGGGTGTCCAAGGAAGATCCTGCCTTTCTCGCCTCTGATAGGCTAGAAGTGCTCTCCTACGATTGGCTATTTCATGCAACAGCAAACCGTCTTTCTTTGGTAAAAGCAGGCTGTCGTCCTGCCACCAACAGAACAGCCGTTTAGTAAAAAATAATGTGAACTCAGCGTTATAATAAACATTCTTCATTTTCTGTTTCTTTAATGAAAAAAATCTTGAAAAAGTAAAATGTGAACGCAGGAGTTGCATGTGTGTGACTTACCAGGGTATGCAATATAATACAACTGCTCTATGTTGCCCAGCTGTGTGCAGCAGGCCCGTGTCTCTTCTAGAATAATGAAAACTGGTGACAAAAGGTCTAAATCATCATCAGCTTTCAATCAAATTTCAGTTAAAGGGTACAATGAGAGGACGACAGTGGCACAGGAGTTACATGCTGGCCCCGTAATCGGAAGGTTGCAGGTTCGAGCCCTGCTCAGTCTGTCGATGTCATTGTGTCCTTGGGCAAGACACCCAACCCACCTTGCCCGCTGGTGGTGGTCGGAGAGACCGGTGACGCCCGTGTACAGCCGACTCGCCTCTGTCAGTGCGCCCAGGACAGCTGTGGCTACAATGTAGCTCACCACCACCAGGGTGTGAATGTGTGTGTGAATGGGTGAATGACTTGATTGTGTTGTAAAGTAACTTGGGGGGACTTCAGGACTCTAGAAGGCGCTGTATCGAATACAGGCCATTTGCCATACACCTTTGCACAGACAGAGAGAGATGTGTTCTATCTCGCAAACAGCCTTAACCTCTTAAAGTGAAGACACAAGACAGCCTATAGTAATAAGATAACCCCAAATGCCTAAGAGCCAACAGATATAAAGTCAGTCCAACAGTGTGATAAATGCAACAAGATTTATTACAAGCACACATTTGATGTTTTCAGGTTATTTTATAAAAGAAACTGAAACTGGTTTGTTGCAGAACAGGACAGAAACGTTTTTATGGACACCCTACGATTCCAAATCATGAGGCCAGGAGAGACCAGAGTCTCAGACCAGAGACTAGCTATCGGGAGATGCTCAAATGTTACAATACTTAGCAGAAAAAACATCTCAGTCTGTTCTATTAGATGGAGAAATTGACACAAATTCCTTGGTGTGTGTAAACGTGCCAGAGTTTGGTCCCACCTTAGCCATCTTGAGGTTGAAGACTCCCATGGCGTTGGACAGAACCTCCAGGACCACATCGCCCGCTGGCATCGAGACATACTTTTTCCTGAGATCCGAGCTTCCTGAGGAGGAGGACAAGCCCGCACCTTGGACTGGGTCTAGAACACTGCTCTTGATTTTCCTCAACCGCTCATAGGTCTCGTCCTCCAGCTCTTTCTGGATGACCTCTCTGGCTCGCTCCATGATCGTGTTCTCATTACGGGTCACCTTATTCATGCACTACAGTGAACACAGAAATCAGAGTAAAATCTTAATAAAAAGGGTAAAATGACCTAGATATTAACAAAGTCATTGCTTAAAACTATAGGCGCAGTCCTTTTAGGCTGCTGTTGGGTGATTCTCCATTTAGCCACCAATCACTGCGGCCGCCTGATAGGTGGGCCCCAGCACAAAATGGAGGACTGTTAAACATTTCCAGAGGCTTTATGAGCCACCTAGAACCAATGAGGCCCGCTGCCTTAAAGGGCTGTGCCTGTACTCGTAGAATCTGGGATTACAACGCTTAACCGTAGTCTGTTGCATATTGACTTTTCCCCTTTTAGGCTGCTATTAGAATAAAGGTAACGCTGGGTGTAGTCTGTGCCTCAGTGCCTCAGACCAAGCCATCAGAAACAACATCCGCTTGAAAAAGACATAAGATGAAGATTGTGACCAATGTGAAAAGTGTCATGAATGCACTTGCTCATGTGGCATGCGTGGCACCAATCCTGAGCGCACTCCAAGAGTGGTAGTGAACTCCACTTGACCTAGCGTTTCAGATGAGGGGAGGGCATCACAGAATGAGTAGGAGGCCTGAAGCGGCAAGGTGACCCCTGCATGCTTGGCTCCAAGGCAGAGGTGACATTTAGCGCCTGTTACGATCCCCGTAAGTAAGCTCCTCAGCCATCCTCATGGCTGCTACTGCTGCACCTTGTTTCCCAGTCAGAGATTTCAGCACAATGGACAGCTCCGAAGTGTCGTAGTCAGCCCTTCAGCACCAGGCTGGGAAGCAGCAGCAGCTGTTCTCAATCAGCACTCATCACCCAACGATACTTAAGACTGGCTTCTTCAGACAATCAAGGAGACTCAGAACTAGTCTGATGGTTGCCCCGTTCTCCCACCCGACGTCCCAGAGCAAACGAAACCCCAAGGTGCTGTTTAACATGACCATTTGAAGTCATGGACAAAACAGACGTTTGGACCTAGAAAACAGCGGCTGGAGTTTAGCGCTCTCGTTTACTCTGGAAATGCAGATTTCTGGTCCCAGTGGACGTGGATCCAGGGAAGACACCCGAGGGTTAGGGTTAGTGGCCGCTTGTTTGCAGAATTGCTATAACAGATTTAATAATCCTGTTTTGTGGTGAACTACCCTCCTGGCTTACCGATATGGCCAGGCCAAAGCTGAGGATTCTGATGCCCAGCTCGTAGGGAGAGTCACAGTGGTAATGATCGGACAGAAACTTCAGAAACTCTGCCAGGTCCAGTTTTTGCGTTGTTGTCTTCCTCCGAAAAATGCGAATTTGCTAAACAAAACAGAGAAGAAACATAGTTAGTTGCATGTATTTTAGAAGCTCTTCATGTCTGAAGAGTCTAGACGTTGCTCAAGCTCAACCACAGCACCAACTTCCCACGTGTGCAGATGAGTTTTAGTGAAGTGACCTGTTAGCTGCTCTCATAAAATCAAACTGCTGCTCCGGTCCACTCTAGCAGGCAGTTTCCAACAGCACTACTCTGTGTGACTCAGGCGGTGGTGTTAGCTTCATTGTGGTTCTAAGCACTGAACCAGGCCAATCAGCATCACAACTGACAGAAGCTGATTGGCTAGGGAGCTGAGTCACTGGTTGCTCCAGAGCTTCCTGCCTGCAGCCATTTCCTGGTTCAGAGTCTGACAAAAGCCCGAGCAGAACACCACCACCATTTTTGACAGGACAGCTTTATTTGTAGAGCTTATTTCATCACGAGGCAACTCAATGTGCTTTACAACAGCAAGAACAGACAACGCAAGGACAAAAATGAACAATGGAATTACAGAAAAACATTGAAGACCAGAACTAGAGAACTAACAGCATTGAGTAGAAAAGTAAGAGTGGCTGGTGACTAGTGCTGGTAGTGTTGGCGCTTACACATTAGTGTTGGCATGTTAGGGGTCTGGTCGGGCTGGAAGGCGTGAGTTCGGTCTCCAACGGGCGGTGTAGTGTTCACATATAAATCCGAGGGACTTCTCAGGAAAGCACGGGAAAGTCCGCGGTGTCCTCCATTATAAGGTAAACAAAGGCGGACATGAGTTGTGTTGCTTTTGGAGACTCTGAACCACATTATTTTATTAATTTGCTGTGTGTGTCCTCGCACACACACACTGATTTCTCCCCTGTGCAGCTGTCTGCTCACCAGGGAAAGAGCTCCGATGCGGAGAATAGGCGCACGCACACAGAGCTCTTCTCTTCTCCCGTTCCCACACGGATCGGCAGCTCAGTCCCAGTCTGACGGCTGGGGGGGAAGGTCTGAGAAAAAGAGTCGCCTCGGCACCGAAAACGCTAATCTGACCTGTGTGTGAAACCACATTCCGGTGCCGTTCGGTACCTTTTGGGGCTGTACGACCCTAATGTTTAAGCGCCTTTTGAGTAGGTAAGAAGGCTAACCAGGAACCACTAAGTATGTGAAAGCATTGACTAAACTAAAAGTGTAAAGCAGAAAACTAGTTCAATGAACTACAACAAGCTAAGTTTAGCAGGGAAATGCTAAAGCTAGCAGTAGGGAAGAAAAACAGACAATAAGCCTGAGAGATAAAAGGTTTACAGGACAGGAGGGGTGGGGGGGGGGACTTTAGGTTGTAGTTGTGTGTAGCGTAGATCACTTCACACTGTTTACTGATCACCTTCAGGGTTGGGCATCGAGCATCGATTGGAACCGGGACTGTTAGTTTTTCTCGGAATCATTCAAAGTTTTTTATTTTGGTTCCTAGAATGCCAACGGAAGAGGAATCCGCGGCCGATCTCCGTGAAAAATAAACGTGATCTGCAAATTGTGATCGACACTTTTCAGAGCTGATCACACCAGCTGTCTGTGTGCAGCACCGCCCCCTCCCCCCACCCCCACCCTGATATAAACAAACGCGTCTGCCGAACTTTTACTGCGTGACGTATACTTTACCTCCTGCAGCGTAGAGGAAACGTGTTAAATACGTCAACACGGTGGATTTAATAGCAGCTTTCAAGAACAAACTCTGGACGGTGTGAGGTGAGTTTGTCTCACTGCAGAAATAAAAACACACACGGAGCGTCAGCAGTCAGACGCAGCCGCCACATTTAAGTTTCACTTCCTGTTCTGACTGAATGTTGCTGCAGCATGGAGGTGCAGTTCTCAGTCATCCTGGACATGATCATCCTGAGAGTTGTAGCTGAAAACAGCTGGACGTTTCTGGATATGTTGGAGACATTTAGCCTCTCATCCCAGAGGCTGCTTCCACACGTTGGTTGTGGTCAGAAACAAACACACTGGTTGTGCTGCAAGTCTTTCTCTTTTTCTCTCCAAAACATGTTTTTGTCTAAATGAACGTGATGTTGCTGTTCATAGAGTTAAAATTCATGTTGAAGTTAAGATTATTTCATCAAGTAGGACCTGTGGTTAGCTGGCTCATGTAAAACATGTCATGTCTTCAAAGAATCGGAATCGATAGGAACCGGAATCGAAACGAGGAATTGGAATCTGAATCGTTCAAAATCAAAAGATGCCCAACCCTAACTTGAGCTTTCTTGTCTTGAGTAAGGACCCCACCCCTACCCCCCACCCACCGGGGCAGGTGCTATGAGCTGGCAGGGAAACCCAACTACTCTGAGGCGAGCTGAGTTAACCCACCCTGGCCTGGACTGAGCTGCTTTAGGCTGAGTAGTGCTGTTGGACAAACGGCGTCTAGGACACATTTTCTTGTTGCTAAGCGTCTCAACACTCCTAACAAATACAGCAAACAGGTTTTTCCTCCTTGAAGAGAAAGAAAAACAGCCTCCCGTTTGACCTGCACCTTTAACTTATGAGTGGTACCTTTATGATGTCTACAGTCTGGATCTCATGGATCTCATCATCCTTTGTGTTACTGTCGATCTTGAACATGCGGTTTACGAGGGGGAGTTTGCAAAGGGGCCCGAGGTTCAGCTCCTCGTAGTGCTTCTTGTCCTTGAGGCCGGCCAGCGCCTGGCCCAGCTCGTACAGGGTACAGATGGACGAGAGGGCTTCGGTAGCCTGACACAGAGCAGGAACAATGTTGTAAATGTAGAAACGTACTTAATCCGTCCATTTTACACATGAGAGTTCCCACCTCTATGAACATGTTGACTTCTCTCATCAGATATTCAAGGTCCTTTAGTGCTGGAACATTCCTGGGCTTCAGGACTCTCGGGTGCAGATTGGGAATCTTGGAGCACACCCAGGATATCACCTGGGCAGTTACAGACACCAGCAAAGTTACCAACAGATTTTTATCCGTTTGTGTGTTGACTAAGGCTGACGAGCTGCGGCAGCCATCTTGAACCAGGGTGACTCCTGAGGTTACTGCGTAATATAAACAAACCCAAGCTTTAGTTACAGAAAGATCCAATAGAATCCTCAGGCACACAAGAACGGTTCATGTTTTCCTTTGTTCTTTCAACAGCAAGGCGATCGTTACTCTATTCAACTTAAACAGGGTCATGCAACAGAAGGACTTGTGTTTTTAAAGAACAAACGGCTCCTTTGGATGAAAAAATTATACATTTTTAAACATTTAATCAGAACTTACAGAGCAAGTCACCCCAAATCAACTTTTTTTCCTGATAAACTGTATAAATGCGTGTCTAATCGTGCTGCAGACGCGTGTCGTCAACAGTTTTGCACTTTAGTTCATTTGAGTTCAAATTTAAATTTTCTGGCTAAAACTGTCAGTGTTGTGCCGTTGTCAGGTAAAAAGTCTGCACTGCTTTTTAATTTAAATCTGCCATCGCTATTGGCTAAGAAGTACCCCAGAACGTTAGCTGGTACCATATGATGTCACAGTGTCATTGTGAGCCTGAGTGTGTGTGTATATGCTAGCGGCTCCGCCCTCTCGGTCTGCTAGGCAACAGCATTTGTTGCATTTTTCAAACAGGAAGTGGGAGTGGAGTAACACTCTGTTAGGGGGTGACTTGCTCTTTAAAAACCCAGTAATGCATTACTATCCCTAATGATTTTAAAATCACTTGAGCAGCTGCAAAGCATCGCCTTTTATGACTAAACTCCTTCCTCGTGAGGGTTTTCTTCCCTTTACTTCACAGGCAGCTGTTGGTGATAAAACACCAAGACTGTCATGGTCTGCGTCTCCCCTCATGTGTCTCCTTGTGTTCTCCATCCCTCTCTAGGTTCCCCTTTTGTGTCTCCTAGCGCCCTCATGTGCCCTTGTCTGCGTCTTCCTCATGTGTCTCCTGGTGTTTTTTCCCCAGATCTTCAGCCCTCTAGGTTTCCCTCCTCAGGTATCCCCCTCCCAGGTCCTGTGCTCCCGTGGCCCCCTTTAGTCACGCCCCTGTAGTTTTTCTTTCTGTAGGGTTTTCCTTTAATTTCAGCTCCCCCCTTAGAATATTAGTTATGTTTGCTGCCCTTCTGGTCTTTAGGTTTTACTCTAAGGTCATTTTCCTTTAGCTACAGCTGTTCATGTTATTAGTCTCTTTAGTGTGTTTTTCCCACCGGTGTTTGTGGATTTCCTCCCCCCTTAGATTATCAGTTATGTTTCCTGCTCTTGTCTTTAGGTTTTACGCTTAGGTTATGTTAGTTTCCTCCCTGATTAGTAAATGAGTTCACCTGGTCTCTCTCTCCCCACACACCTGCTGTTCATCTCCCTCTCATCCTCCCCAGTGTATAAAACCCTGTCTGTGTCCCAGTTTTGGTCAGTCCATTGTTTGGTGTCAGCGTTGTTTTGTTCCTCGTCACTAGGTCTCTAGGTTTGTGCTCTTTAAGTGAGCTTTTTGGTCTCCAGGGTTTCAGGATATTGGTTTTTGGCTTCCTGCCCTTTTGGAATTTTTTGTTCTCCTTCCTAATAAAGGAATGTTTTCATTTACATCCACTCCTGCCTCATGTCGTTCTGGGTGTCTGCATTTTGAGACAACCAGTGGCGCAAAAGGAAAACAGGAAGAAGACTGCTGGACGTTGTCAGCTTCACAGGGCCGGTTTACTGTTGAACAAGTTCATAAATCTCAATCTCACCAACTTTATTATTGATATTTTCAGTATCCTCCTGAATGAGTCACTTCCGGGAAAAGAAGCTGTCGCTGTGACATCACAATAATGGACGTTTTCAAACGAAAAAATGAGCAAATGACTCCTGAAACTACCATCTTGACAGAAAGCGGTGTCTTTTGTTTGTGTTCGAGTGTAGATGCAGTAGAGACCCACATGGCAGCACAAATGGATGCAAAAGGTCAGTTTCACGTTATAAGTCTCCTTTCCAACATGTAAGAAAGTCTAAATTTGAAGTCAACGTTTGTTTTTCTAAATTTTTTGAATTATTTTTGCCTTTTACCTTTTCTTTAGTGACCAGCTCTCCATCAGCAGCAATGTCTCGTATGGCGTTCAGAGCCATTGTGTTGATCCAGTCTGGATCGACACAATGGCTCCTCCTCCTCAATTCCTGGTCATCTTCGTCCTCCAGGGCCTCCAGCGCCCGCATGTTTCCTCCATGGACCTCTCTCAGCTGGGCATTGTACGCTTCTCTAAAGACGAGGGCACCACCTTCTCTCTGGGTTGCTCGTTTCACTGTCTTCTTCTCGTGGGTCGGGTTTGCAGCAGCTCCCAGCACCGGGAACTCATTTTCAGCAAGCAGGTTTGGTCCGCTTACCGCTTCTGTAGGCCCTCTGGTGAGATTTTCCGTTGCTGTAAGAGGAAATGGAATATTTAGAAGAGCATAACTTCATATTTTAAACCAAACTTAAATGTCACAGTTTGGTTACCTTCAGCCGTCTGCCATGCATTAGTCTTGGGATTTGGATTTGGTTCAGGTTGATGAGGCAGCTTCTTGGCCTCCCAGTTGTCATACAGAGAAATGTACTGTTCCAAAGGAAACGGTTCACCAAAAACGTGAGTGTATTGAGTCTGGAGCTCGCTGATGGAGGGATTGCCTGGCTGGCAGGCCTTTAACACCTGCAACACATCAACAGGCTCGGAGTGGTCAGAGAAGTTTAACAGAAAACATGGGAAAACTTTGACTTTAGGGAAACTGTGTCTGAGTCTGTCACCATGGTGCTTTAGTGGAAGAAAAGGTTTTAAGTCTTTTATTTTTTTGAGCCAGGCTATAACAACCAGGGGCCTCATTTATAAAGCTTGCTTACGCACAAAACGGCGTCGGAAAACTGCGTAAGCAACTTTCCACGAAAAATTTGGGATTTATGAAAGAAAACTTAGAGGAAAAATGTTCGCAACTTTACGTTGACTAAGGACCTGGCTTACACACATGTTGGACATGGAGAGCACCTGCAGTGCTGCTGCTGAGAAGATACAATTATGAATTCCTGCAGCATTATCACTTGTACCACTTCCTGTTCACACAGAACAAGACCCCCCCAACCCCCCCACCCACAGCCCTGAAGCCAGAATACAGAATGCAGAATATCAGCAGGGGGACAGATTGAGACAGAACATCATGCGTCTGTGACAGTGTGTGTCCTGTCACTGTGACCCGATTGATCATGCGCCCTGGCTACTTGTACAGGGGAGATCTCTGTTTGGCTGACTGGTTAGCACGCGTGACTTTCACCCGGGAGTCTGGGGATTGAATCCTGATTGGACCATTTTTTTATATCCGCCACAGATCTCTGAAGAACTCAGCATTGACGGCTTCAGCAACGCTGTGCCACTCCGTGGATTTTCTCTTATTTGTTTTGCAAAAGCACTTCCTTTCATTTCTCCACCTCACCCACAGGTACCTCAACTTCTGCTTCTGTGAAATTGCGCTTCCTTGATCTGCCTTGATCTACGGTCGCCATGTCATTGGCGGAGCGTTGCAACAGCCGGCTTATGTATATGCATGAAATCCACAAGGCACTTTGCATTGACTATTTATGGCAGTAAGTGGGCGTGGTGAGGGCGGGATGTGACTAAAATGCAGCTGAGAACATTTCTAGATATTTTCTGATCTATGAAGTGGAGATTGCGTGCAGCTGTGCGTACTCCATGTTTGATAGATCACAAACCTGCTTGGCGTGAGTACATTTTTTTTGCTGAGCTTAAGTACGGTTTTAGTAAGGATTCTACGCCATGTTTGATAAATGAGACCCCAGGACTGTAACTAAAGTGAATAAACTCAGAGCTGATTGAACCCTGGAGCAAAGAAGAGTCCTGCTTCTTTTCTAGAATGCTCCCTGGTGGTGTCCAAACAAACATCAGCATGTAGACTGGAAGACATTTAACCATACACCAAAACACATTCCAGCAGCATGAAAGGCTAAAACTTGTCTTCATTAGTCAGTTTATAATGTTTCTAATTGTTTTTTAGGGAACTATGACCATCAGGGGGCCTAACAGCCTGTAGCAGGTCGTTCTGAGACAACCTGACAGCTGCTGCTAGTTCTCATGTAGGTTACTGAACACAACTAGTTTTTTTCTAACCTGTAAAACCCTCTGATACAGCTGGTCTTGGGTCAGCTGCTGAGGTGGCTCAGGTGCTGCAACAAGTGGAACACGCTGGGTTGAAACTAGGGGGGCAGAAGCAACCAGAGGCGGTCCAAAAAGGGACAGTTGTGCCTGAGTGAGAGGCACGCTGTGAGAGGTGGCATCCTGTGTTGGTGCAGGACCCTGGAGGGGGCTGCTGTCCCTGAGGGATCCAGGTGTGTGGGGGGTTGATGGCCTGCTGTTTTCCTTTCTATTTGTTGATGTCCACGCTTCATGCTGGTGTCCAGGCAGGTGTGTTTTATGAAACACCGTCTCCCCCTCCACAATCAGGTCCTCTTTCAACGATTCCACTAGGCAGGACATAGTTTTGAAACCTAAAGAGACTGGAGACAATTTCTTGTGGTATGTTTGTTTGTAGATGTGTGCCACATTCTCCAGGGGAATTCCATCTGGATGCTCTTTCATCAAGGCAACAAGGTTTTTCAGCCTTTTCGCTGACCTTCTACTGGCTTTGAGTGCTTTAGCTGAAACCGCTGTGTGACACTCAGCTCCAGCCACGGCCTGACTTTGTTGACAGTGGTCCTTGTGACGCACCACATCCCCCTCCACAACCAGGTCTTTGAGAGAGGACACCAGGCTGACAATGGAGTTAAGGCCCAGCGCTCGTACATTCAGGTTACGGTGGTATGCCTGGTTGTAGCAGACAGAGAGCTTATCCAGAGGGACCCCATCTTGGTGCTGCTTCACCAGGGCCACCACATTCTGCAACACCTCCTCCATCTTTAGTGATGCTAACAGAGGAGACAAAATAACTACCATTAATGCATGTATACTTAAAAACTGTTAGCCAGTAGCTGTGATGCTGGACACTGTTAGTAATTAAAGTGGAGCAACCACCGATTGTGCAAGTTGTCCTGCTTAAAAAGGTGAGAGGTTGTACACGTTAACAATGAGGGACAGGATGTAAAACTACCCAGGAAATCGCATTTTCTATGATTTCTAAAGATGGATGTGGAGCATAAACATGAACCATGAAACATGCATGGCGTTGATTCCAAGCTTTGACCAAAGACGCTACAACTCTTATCAGCTTTCACTTTAAAGGGTTTAATCATTTAAAGGCTGAATATCAGAATCAGAAAAACTTTATTTATCCCCAAGGGGCAATTAAAAAAATAAAATAAAAAATACCAGCAGAGCAGCATGATGTTGGACATACAAACATTGAATAAATAGGCAATAAGGAAGTAATAAAGCAGCAAGAAGATGGATAAAACAGTAAAGTATGCAAAAATCATTGAGTAAGTGAATAAAGTGACTAAAGTGTCGTCTGTATAAAAGTTAAATATATGGAGAGCCCAAGGAGAGGGTTTATCGGGGGATGGTCTTATCTTATCTGCTGGAGTTAAAGAGCAGAATGGCTTTGGGGACCAAAGGTGGCTCTCTTCCTCTCAGTCTTGCAGGAAATGCAGCGTAGGTGTCGCCCAGAGGGGAGCCATTGAAATGCGGGGTGAAGAATGTGAGAGGGGTTGTGGAGATTTTGGCTGCCTGTCTCAGGGCTTGTTGATAGAAACCCTGAGCAAGAGTTCTGACAGGCAGGCCAACGATTTTGGAGCACACTGATGCAGTGTGCTGCAGTCTGTTCCTGTTCTGGAGGCTAAAGCCGGGCGTACACTGTGCGACTTTTTCACTTTTTTGAGCCAATTTTCCAGTAGTGCGAGAATCCACGACATCGGGGCGAGTTTTACGCCGAGTGGTCGTGTAGTGTACAGGGGGTTACGAGAGGCGATTAACACCACGTGACCAGCTGCCGATCAGCAGTCGTGAGGTCGCACGGACTTCTGGCGTGTTTAATATTTCGCTCGTCCCTCGTGAGGGTATCGCACTGTTGAAGCGGCGCTGTGAGCAGCTGCGACCCAAAATGTATCAGAACCGCTCACGGCGCATGCGCGCGCAATCCTGCATCAACGCCGCTCCCCGCTATTTCCTTAATAACACACGCTGTTCGTTTTTGTTTCTACACGTTTTTTTACTCACAAAGATTGTCAAGAAAGCGTGTTTGTCGTGTTCTTGTCAAATTAAACTGATCACAAAACACAGATTTACTTTATTTATTTCGTTTTCCTCATCCAACCCCCATGAATCCCTGTGTGTCCTCCTGCAGCACTCCCGAAGGACAACAGGCAAAACAAGACAAAAAAGTCTGACGTGTTGTGTAAAAACTGCTATTTTTAGCATATTTTTAGGGCCGACGTGTTTCTACCAGACGTACAGTGTGAGCGCCTGGCTCATGAGATCTGCTCTGCGAGGAAGTCGTACAGTTTGAGCTGAAGCTTGAGTGCTACGAGTGAAAAAGTCGCACAGTGTACGCCCGGCTTAAGGGAGTAGAACCAGCAAGTGATGGAGAAGGTCATGATGCTTTCCAGGAAGGCACAGTAAAAGGTCATCATGACTGAGGAGCTGACTCCAAAGGAGTTCAGCTTCCTAAGGAGATATAACTTTGATGCCACTTTCTGAGAATCTCTTCTGTGTTAGCAGAGAATTTCAGGAGGCTGTCAAAGGTGGTTCCCAGATACTTGTACTCCTCCACTACCTCCACTGGGTTCCCATGGATAATGGGGTTACTGAAGCAGCCGGATCCCTCTGCCTCCTGCAGAAGGTCACCACCATGTCTTTGGTTTTGCTCACATTCAGTTCAAGTTTGGAGCTGTCACACCACTCTACAAACTCCTGAAGAGCAGGTCCGTGGTGTTGTGAGGAGCCTGACAGCAGTGATAGGAGGACTGTATCATCAGCGTATTTCACCAGGTGACAGTTGGGATGTGTGGATCTGCAGTCGTCGGTGTAGAGGATGTAGAGCAGGGGGGAGAGCACACAGCCCTGGGGGGAGCCGGTGGAGGTGGAACGGAGACCGGAGAGACAGTTGTTGACCCGAACTTTCTGAGTCCTGTTGGTTAAAAAGTCCAGTATCCACAGGGTTAACTGGTCATCTAAATGAAACTGGGAGGAAAGTTTAGTAGCCAGGATGTGAGGCTGCAGAGTGTTGAATGCTGATGAAAAGTCAACAAACAGAAGTCTGGCGAAGGAGTCGGGGAGCTCCAGATGTTTGTGGATGGAGTCCACATATGGAACAATTGAATAAAAATCTTCTCTCTCCATGAGACATTTAGAGGTCTGCAGAACGAAGAATGAAGCTTTTCTTTCAAAGCTATATTTGAAGTAAAAAATAATCAAATATTCATTTTGATGGGCACGACACTGTGTTTATGTTTACTTGGACCCACCTTTGTGGGTTGCATAACAGTCTGTGGAAAATGGCGGACTCTGCAAGTCAACCAGCTGCTTCTGAGCCCAGAAGACGTCGATATCCTTCTCAGAAGAGAAGCAACCATAAAAGATGTAAAACCAGAGTGTGATTAGGTGAGGCCCGTGACAGATGGACACAAATAAAACATTTCCTGTATCGGCACCAAACCTGGTATCCTGATGGATGGAAACCTATGGTTGCAACTACAGCCTCCACACACTTGATGCCACTTTGGTGTTGGTGTTGACATAAAAGTAATTGTTTCAATGTTTTCATTCTTTTAGTGTTGAAAAGTCTCTGCTCTTCGTAAGTTATGTTCCAAAGCAGGGGTCTTCAACTACATTTGTTCAAGGTTTTTTCCAGCAGAGGGCCAGACGGTCTTCTGAAATAGTTTTAATCATTATTGTATCTTCATTTATTAACATTTAAACTGGTTTTCTTTTCCATCTAAACTATTTTGATAGTGTTTTTAGTTTGGAGAACGTAAACAATTACTGATATTTAGGACATGACTAACGGCTATACTTCAAAGTCCCCCAATTGGAGGATTTTAGGGCCCACAGGGCTGGGTGGAAAGGTCTGGCGAGTCAGATGTGGCCCGTGGGCCGCCACTTGACGTTCATTGTTCTAAAGTGTTCAGAAGTCTGAGCAGGCTCCGGTTTGAGGGCCGTGTAAACAAACTGAAGCCACCGTCGCTGCAAGACCTCTCCCTACATCTAAAGCAATTAGAAACCAGCCAGGAGTTTCACCGGTTTGTTCACTAGAAGTCCCACAAGCAGAGCCAGACATGAAACCCAGAGTGCCGTGGATTCTGGTCACATCCCCTCACTCAGAGCTGACATTCACACATGACTACTTTCACATCAGAACCTCAGAGCTACAGAGCTCCTAATCTGTGGGAACATTTCAGCTGTTAGGAGTAGGATGTGCTTGAGTCACTTAAGTGGCTTCAAACCTAAACAGAAACAGATGTAGCGTCAAGAATGTCCTGTTTATGACCGAAAGGTCATGATCTGCTGCGTCTGCTCGAGCAGAGACATAAAGTCTCTGACAGCCTAATCTACATGAGATGGTGGCCAAGGTCTTTCATGCACTCTGCTCATCTGAACTGCTTCACCTTTGTTACAGCTCGATACGAAGACAAAGATGAAGAACTATTTTGATAAATACATAATCAACAACTTTGTTATTACTAGGGATGGGTACCTTTGACATTTGTATCGATTCGGTACTATTTCCCGGTACCTAGGAATCGATACCGGTACTTAACGGTACCAATTTTGGATACTTTTGAGTGTTTATTATTTTAATTCTCTTTTATAATTATATATTTATTTTTCTCAATATATAACCATATTTGATAAATATCACGATAAATAACATACAACTGTTTGTATTTTAACATCGTCCTTGTAGTTTTATAAGCTGATAATTAAACTGAAGCAAACATTTTTACTGTGAACTAAATTTACTGTGTATCTTCATTCCTTTTGCCGTCCTTTTTCATTTGATTTTTCCTACTGGGAAGTTAGAATTTCTGAGGAGAAAGCGAACGCACCATTAGATGATAACAATGGTGGCAATGGAAGCTAACATACCAAGCTAACGTTATCTTAAACAGTTTATTTAGCTGCTGGAGCAGATTAAAACGATGATGCCTCACACTTAGATCGTTGTCGCTGGTTTCATCTTGACCCAATCACCCATCGCATTTAGTAAAGTGAAGCCAAACTTTAGAGCGCGTTCATGTTCTTCTAGTCGGGAATTCGGAGTTCCGAGGAGAAAGCGAACGCACCATTAGCGGAACGGAAGCTAACATATCAAGCTAATTATATTTACCTACCAGAGCAGATTAAGATGAGGATGTCTCACTTAGATCGTTGTCGCTGGTTTCATCATCACCCAGTTACCCATCACATTTAGTGAAGTGGACCCAAGCGTTAGCGTGTGTTCTTTCTACCATGCTGCTCTGTTCACAACTCACTCGCAGCGACCGACGACATAACGCTCTTGCGCATGCGCAGCTGTCTAGGCAAGTTCTCGTTATGAAGGACGGGTACCGAAACGAGGCACCGTTTGAAACACTGTGTGTGTGTGTGTGTGTGTGTGTGTGTGTTTGTGTGTGTGTGTGTGTGTGTGTGTGAGTGTGTGTGTGTGTGTGCGTGTTCATTCCCCAATTCAGTATGTGTGAGTGTATTTGGGTGTGATTGTGTGTGTGTGAGTCCTTCCCTCAGTCTTTTAGTTCAGTTTTGTGTTTATCTGCCCTCCTTTGGTTCTGCTTCCCCATTTAGATGATTGTTGTCACCTGTCTTCCCTCCAGCCCTCACTCCACACACCTGCTTCCTGTTTCCCTAATCGTTCCTCCCAGTCTATTCAAGCCCTGTCTTGTCTCTGTGTTGTTGTCGGTCCATTATTGTTTGTCAGCGTTGTTTCGTGCTCTAGTGAGCTTATGTCTCTAGGTTTTGTTGCTCTCAGTGAGCTTTC